TGTGGTTTTCCTCATATATATATATATATATATATACAGGGTGATTCTAAAAAGATGGGCAAACTTTTAGGAAGTGATAGTACACACTCAAGCAAACAATTTTTATTACAGAATGTATGGCTGAAAACAAAACGCAAAACCGCTAGAGGGCATCAAAGTTTATGTTCTTATATGAGGCAAAAACACACAAAGAACGATGAAGTTATATTATAAAAGCAATTTTAATGGCATGTGATTACAATAAGTGTTCAAAACAGTAGCCGGCAGCGGCTATGCATGCAGTACAACGGCGAAGAAAAGATGGGTGAACATTCTGAAACACACCAGGCATATCACGAATTTTCCATGCAGCGGCCAAAAGCCATGGTGACAAGTAACGCAGAGCAGTAACTCGCAACAGGAATGGAGCTTTCACGTTTGCATCAAACAATTTTCCAAATGCGCCAGCACCTTTGCGTTTTGTTTTCGACCATGCATTCTTTGATAAAAATTGTTTGCCTGGGTGTGTACTATCACTTCCTAAAATTTTGCTCATCTTTTTAGAATCACCCTGTATATACTAATTGTAATATAATACTGTACGTGCAAGTATAGAACTATAAATACTAAAGGGTTGCAGACATCTATGATTCATCTTTAACGATGATATGAAGGCAATAGTGGCACATGATAGAACTTCACTACCACAATTTAGTTTGGAGGGCAGATCACCAGGGCTAATCAGCAAACTTTTGCACCACAACCCCAACTATGCATTGACTTTTTCTGCTTTAAAACTACCAAGAAGATTAAAGTGAATTCTGAACCACTAGTATACTAGGAAAAAGTGCAATCTGGTCAAACATTCAGTCTTGAGCCTGATGGCTCAGGGGATAGAGCGTTTATCTTACACATAGGCGAACTGGGTTCGAATCCCAGTAATGGCTCGTCGATACGAATCCACATCCGGCTTGCACCAACCACAGTGCTGACGTGAAATATCCTAAGTGGTAGACAGATCATGGATTAGAGGTCCCCTTGCCACCAGGCTAACCGTGGGAGGTTCTCATGGTCTTCCTCTCCATGTAATGCAAATGCGGGTTAGTTCCATCAAAAAATCCTCCAAGAAGGCAAATTTCTCCCAATACTTGATCCCGGAGTTCTCTAGTCTTCTGGATTGGGGTCAAAATTACAAGGCTAAGGAGTTGAACAGTAGTAGTCCTAAACCCAAAACAAAAAATTGGGTCGGCTGTTCAACAACGGTTATTAAAAAAAAACATTCAGTCTTGAGCGGTGGCGTCTCAAGAGATAGAGCATTTGCTTTCCGATGAGGTGAATCAGGTTCGAATCCCAGCGATGGCATTGGTGGGTATGAATACCGCACCTCGCGTAAAAATATCCTTAATGGTCGAAGGATCATGGATTAAAGTCCCTTTGCCCTCAGGTTAACCGAGGAAGGCTTTTGTGGTTTTCCTCTCCATGTAACACAAATGAGGGTTAGTTCCATCAATAAGTCTTCCACAAATGCATTTTTCTCCCAATACTTGATCCAAGAATTCCCTTTTCTTCTGGATTGGGTTCAAAATTACAAGGCGGAGTTGAACATTAGTAGTCATAAACCAAANTTTGTACCACTACCACTCAACTGTGTATTAAATTTCATTCAATTATGACGATTCCTTCATGGTGTTGCAATTTTCACAAACAGGAGTTTAAAATAAAATAAAACATTCCGTCTTTATCATAAAGAATCAAACCCCAACACAAGCCAAAGTAGGCAACAAGATTGATTTATTTACTTGAAAAGGAAACTGTTAATCCCAAGAGAATATTGATAATCCAAAAATGTTCAAGATTATTTTAAGAAGTTGCTGCACTCTACTAATCCTTGAATTAATAAAATAGCACATTTCCAGCTTCTTATCCGAACAATATCATCTTTCTTGTCTCTCAGTAAAATGTTATTATTACAGGCTATTGTGTATAAAAACTTGCATTATAAAAATATTAATTTTATAGTAAAAATATCCACACACAAAAAAAGTGTTCTGACTTTTTAGATATTGAAAAGTACTTTTTAAATATATATGTTACAGACGGGGAGTGTCGAGGATTAGCTTCAAAGTAATCAAGGAGAGTTATAATTAAAGCTTTTATTGAGGAAACACTAAAAGACAACACAAAACAATTATAGTTAGAACATCTTTCAGAGCTCTCTCCCCTTTGCCATCTCATGAGTGAGTGTGTGTAGAGAGTCTGCTTTACTTTTACTACAGATGGCGCTGCATGGCATATGCAACATATTTAAAGATTTTTTAAGGATATTTGATAAAAATCTAAAAACTGTAATCTTTTTTGCACCTGCAGAAAATTCTAGCAGAATGAACTTACAAGCCAAACCAGCTAAAGTTGTTTAAATTTATAAGCAAGTTTAGCTTAACACTGTCCCTAAATAAAGATAAGTTGTAACATTTCCGTGAAAAATACAAATAATAGTGAATAATAAGACTGTTCCATATTTTTAAAATACACATAATTCTACACTGAGGTTGACGAAATAAAATACAGAACATAAGGTGGTACAGAAAAAGGAGAAATTTTGAAGAACTGTAATTTGCAATAACACAAGGAAAACTTTTTTAATGATAAAAATATGTATATAAATTATGCCATAAAAAAAAAATTTAAAATTTGATTGTATTATATTTTTTGATTATTATCAACTCGTGTAGGCAAAGATTCTACACACCAACCTCCCTTCCAATAAGTGTGAATTTAAAAATTAAAGGATGTTTTAAAATAAGTAGTATGCAGAGCACACAAAAAGTTTAAACACAATTGATAAAAAGTTAAACAAATATCTATCTATGTAAACTATATAGCTGGTACTAAAATTTTTAATCAATTCAAAGAAATTTTAAGACATATATAATCAGGAATATTAATTTAAAATTTAGTAAAATGAAAATATTTTTAATTATAAAGATATATGTACTTATAATGCAAATAAAGCAATTATGATACAATACTGTTAAAAAAATTAAAATAATTAGAAAAAAAGTTTTTACCTCATCACAATCATTAGAAGAACAATGCTTATTTGCTAAGCAATTTCTTAGGGAATACACATCTCCTTCAGAGATTTTGGAAGTCAATATCGCGAAAGCTACACCAGTCTTATTCATTCTTCAAAAAACTTCATTAACTTACCTGTAATAACAATTCTTTTTTAATTGAACAATATTTTGAATCAAAATAAATAACAAATTAAATACAAAATAAGTATTTCAATTTTAGTTTTATTAAGTCGTCGATTTTTTAAAATTAAGATTATAATATTATTTAAATTCTTAATTTCTCCACTTACACTCAAAGTAGTTTCTCCACTTACACTCTCAGGACACAGGTTTAATAGGCTCCACAATGAAATTTATTGGGAGCCCCTTCCTCAAAGGTCGTATTTTTACAAAGCGTTGATTTTATATTTTTTTGTATGCATACTTAAAGGAATTTTCTGTTAATTTTCCTTTAAAAAATTCATTAAAATACAAAAGTTCTGTAAAGAATTTTGTCCACTTCCTTAGCGTTCTGGCCTTTGAAACAATTGTTCCAGCCTTCAACCCCTTCTGAGTATGGCTTTACACTAACTTGTGTAATGTGTTAATTCAAAATATTTAGCACATAAACTTCAATAAATCCTCCCCCAAATTAACAAAATTTAAATTCGGTTGTGTTATACATACTATATTTCCTTCATATCTTCATACAGTGAAACCCCTAGGGAGCCAACCCAGTGTAACAGAGACTGACAGATGTATGGTTTAAATTTCGTGTGTTTTAATAATATTGTTCTTTTCTTAAAAAATCACGAAAATATCTATAGTATTAACTGAGCAATGAAAGACATTGGGATTTTAAAAACCAAGAGAAAATTCATACAATAACTGCCAAAAAAAAATAATCATAACATTACATAAATTTGTGGTGGAATCGTTGCGAGTTGTGAGCGATGAAGACTCAAATGCCCGATTTAAATGTTTCATGTACGAAACATCATATTAAAAACATTAAATCGATTTTATTTCAACTAAATTTTTTCTTAAAAAAAACGACAAATGTACCGCAATGATTGATTAATTTGTTTACTAGAAATCTGAATTTGTAACAAAATAACCACTCGGTCATATTTTATTAAAATGTAAAACATGGTGTTCTTTAAAGAAAAGAAAAAAATTAAGAGCGTCATGTCTAGAGAGAACTATTTTTTTAACTTTTGCGATTTTTAACTTTTTATTTTACATTAATTCAAAATTCCAGCTGAAACCAGTCATTACAGATTTTTTTTAAAAATCTCAAATGAGATCTTTGATGCACAAGAAAGAACATCCTAAAGAAAAATTTCAGGAAAAAAAAAGTTTCCCTTCCCAAATGAAAAATCTTTCTGCAAAAACACTAACACTCTACAACAACGTCGCCGTGTTGCCAATTCTGCTATTTTAAATAAATAATTGTTTTTACATTTAATTTTAAATCATAAAAATTAGTCAGCTTTAAAAGATGAGAACAGGCGTGTTTGTTTTTCCTAAAATAACTTTTTTTTCTAATTTAACTTTCAACTCTAGGAGTAAATCATTGATAACATCATCTTTAGTGCTCTCTGAATAAGAGCTGCTCACAAATATTTTGAATACATTTAAATCTACTTATTTGTTTTGTTAAATTTTTTGTTTTTATATTTTTTCATATTTCCTTATTTGACTTCTTCCACATTTGGTGCAGATGTTTGCCCGGTTGCTTAGAGAGGTATTAATGGTCTCTCCTTGAGGTTTTTTTCAACACAAAGTCTATGGAAAAATACTGTGCCTCCCAAGTGGTCGTAAATAGAGGTGGTCGCTATATTGAGGCGGTCTTTCCTACAGGTTTCACTGTACTGCCAATCACTACTTGATAAGCTATGGCATACAATATAATTCAGATTTAGTAAATTTAGTCCTCTATTTAAAATATTTTTGGACTATAAACACAATTTTATATTTCCATTAAAAAAATAAGAAATTTTAATAGATCTAAAAAAATGAAAATAACATGACATTATAAGAAACATTAGTTCAGTCAAATATGAAAAGCTACAGAATTTTTTTAACCGAGTTGTATCAGAAACTTCTCAAAGACAACTCTGGAATTGTGGAAATCAAGAGGAATGATATTATGCTATTCCTCTAGACAATTTATTGTACCAAATGTTTTATAATCTGTTTTCTGTTACATTAATCTTTATAAATAATGGATAGCCGAACCCTTAACAAACAAATCATTTTAATAATCATCAAAAACGAATCATTTTAATGCAAAACTTATACAATTGTTTACTTTTTAATTAATGAAAAAAATAGACTATGACTATTGGTTTATTTTATTATTATTTTTATTATTTTGCACCAATATTTGCCTGAAATATTCATTTTTTTAAACTTATTAATTTATTATAGCTGTTTTCTTTTTAAAAAAATAATAAAAAAAGTGTTTTTCGTATTTTTCTATTCTTAATTTTGCTTTAATTACCTATAATTTGCAATGTAAAGGAATAAAACTAATGAGAAAGAAAACATGCGAAGCATGTCCTTAATAGAATTTCATAGAAATTCTGAAGAGTTAAGAATTTTTTCAATTTCCTCAGCAGTCATTGAACTTTCTGATAGCACCACCTACAACATTTATAATTAGAAAAAACACATCTGAAAATTTATTCAGCTTTATTATGATCAAGACAGATTATGAGGTGAGAACTTAATTTGACAGTCTAATATATTTTTAGTTTAAAATCCTTTTCAAAAAACTATATCACATAAATTTAAAACATACAATGCTAAAACAGTTTTACTTTAAATATAACTATGGAACTAAAATACGTCTGAAAACTTAATTTTCTCAGTATTTTGATTAGAATGCCTTAAAAAGAATATCTAAATTATGTAAGTGATATTGTGCAATTGAAAATTGCGTTAAATATGTATAACAACTTTTCTAACACAATAAAAACATACATGATATATTAGGATTGTTCGTCAATACAATTTAGTCACTTTGCAAACATGAACTACTAAATAATGAATTATCTTTGTGTATCTACAGTATTTAAAATACCACATGCTTTCGTTGAAATATGCATATTTCTACATAAACAAATGTTGTAAAAGGTATTAATATGTCGTAAGCGACAGCAAATCCCCTATATTCCATGTTTTCATTTAACAATAACAAAAACTTCATAAAAGATAAATTATAATTAAAAAAATTTATAGTATATTTAATTCTTTATAATTTTATTTACATTACATAACGTCATTGACTATTTCATTCATGGAATACTTGGACAGCAAAATTTTCTAATACATCAAAACACTCCAACCAAATCAAAACAAACTATAGCACCGAACAAAAGGGTGAATTCGCCAAAACTAGCGAAACTCTAGCAAAAATTGATTTGGCGAGTTTCTAAATTATTACGTCACTGTGACTCATGTCATATGTTGCAATCTGTTTGTTTACATATTTATTTTTATTTAAAAGTTATTAAGATTGATCAAAACAAAAATACCCTTGACATTGTCAAAAAACATGATTAAAATAAGTCGTGTTCACTAATAAATTTCTCAATTATATGCTATGGCTGATTCAGAAATAGTTAATGACCGAACTCCACTCCTGGAAAGAAAAGGGAGTATTAGTAGTACTGATTCATGCAATAAATTTACTATTAAGTCATTAGAAAAAGAGGATGCCACTTTAACAGCAGTTTTAACTGCTGATTCTACTAAATATGGTATATCTAATGTATTGAATATTGTGGAAGACGGTGATTACATGGCGCCGGTTAGCGAAGGAGTTGTTGAATATAATGGACAACTATCCGATATCGTCTGTATTTTTTCAGTGGCATTTGATACGCGTGCTGGTAGTAAAATTTTCGTCCATTCTTGTATTTTAGATAAATTTAAGTTTTGAAAATTTTCTTTAATCTATCAAAATGTTCAGAAATATCTGTTTTAATGAAATCTTAGACGTAGTGTAAAATATGTTTTCTATAAAATGCCATGTTAATAATTTTTTATTGTCTACTGATAATTGACATGTTTTGAACAGAATATTAAACTTAAGAGAGTGATAAAGGCAGAATAAATTTAATATTTAAAATCAAGTCTTAAAGAACCAAATGATAGCAATATTAAAGCATTTTAAGTACCATTCTTAAATTAAATATTATCGCCCTCTTATTTTTTTGTATTTATTTAAACTTTCGGTAGTCATATGTGATACATAAAATATTAATTATTTTTTGGTCGTACCTTTCATATTTTGGATTTTCCATTTCTAATCTATTTAAAGTAATGAAGAAGAAAAAAAGCTTTTCAGCCATACAATGCTCTTTCTTTCCTCTAAGAGGTGTACAACATTGAATAAACAATCCGTAAAGCACTTTTAGGAATTGTGGTTTCTATCATTTCAAAATTCTGTTCATCACTACAATGCATAAATGAAATAATTTAATTATTTCATTCACTAACTTTGATTTGTTTGGCTTTGCAAAAATAAACCACATTATGTACCTTACTTTGTGGTTAAATTATATTTCCGTAAAGTTGAAAAATGTCAATATTTAAAAACTTAAGAATTTTCTGTAAAATGTTTTTAATCTTTATACCAACTTTGTAAATATCTTTTAAAACTTTATCTTTTTTAAAAAAAATATGTACATTAAAACTAGACTAAGTTAATTGGTAAAAAATATTACTCATTAAAAAGACTAAAGAAATTTTTTGATCAGAATTACTCTAGGCGGTTCAAAAAATATAAAGCCTTTTAAGACTCTTAAAAGAACGGTTTTAGAAACAAAGAGACATAAAGTGATTTTATAACCAAAGATGAATGTGAAAACAAGTGCTAAAAGTGTTACGAAAAAAATCATATTATTACAAAAAAAGCTTGAAGTAAAAATGTAATTCTTTAGTTTCAGATTACAAATATTAATGATTATTTTTACTTTTGAAAAGTTTTGATGGTACTACATAAATTAGTCAAATACTAATTCATGTTGTTGTTAATATTTTGTTCCTGTGGAACATAGTAGCCTTCACGTATAATGCTTGTTGAAAAAATTGAAACAATCTGAAAATTACTAGAGAATGTCAAAAATTTCATGATGCCAAACTTCTTAGTGTTCATAATCTATGTCTTTATAATTAGGTATTTATGTTTAATATCCTCTTCACTCTTATGTAGTGAATCCGAGTTTCTAAATACTTAAAATTAGGAGAGTCTACATTAAAAAAAGTGTATCATTAATTTACAAGAATAAAACTCTTTACATAAGAACAATATTCATTTTGTACAAACATAAATATATGTTAAAAATATGAAGTACTTGAACATGAAGCTCCTTTGGCTTATATAGGGATTTTCAAAATCAAAAGTTTTGACAGAAGCTCATGATTTTTTTTTCTTTCGAACAATACTGTGAGTGATCAAAATTCCATTTCTTGAAAGACAGTGTTTCTGGACACATCAATATGACTGATAAAGTAGGCTAATAACGTTCTTTACAGATCAGAGGTAGATTTACCAACCGACTTGCCTTTCAAGAGCTCTGCTATCATGGCTCTTCATGAGGCTAGTGAAGCTTACTTGGTTGGTCTTTTCAAAGACTTCCTTTGGCTATTCATGCCAAGAGAGTCATTATCATGCCCAAAAATATCCAACTTACCCAACATATATGTGGAGAATGAGCTTAAATTGCTTAGTTAACATTTAAAAAAAAGATCCATCTTGAGGGCTGACTATTTACCACAATGAATAGCTAAGCCTAATTAATTATTAATCGAGTGTATAAAAATGTATTCTTTCTTTGAAAATATGCTTATTGTATTTTATTTGTTTCAATTCTTATTTATGTTTATTTTTTGTTATTTTTTTCACTAAGGCAACATCATTGAATGGTATTTACCTTGCGACTGCAATGTTGATGGCATTGAATTCCGTGCGATGGCAAGTGGATCACATAGAGTTCAAACTGATTTTATGTAGGTTTTCTTTTATTTTTATTAGCATCTATTAAAATGGCCATTATAACTTGTCTATGATATATTTCCAAATATATGCTCACATTTGTACATAAGCAGATATTTAAAATTTTTCTTCAAAAATTTCTCCAAAATTTGAAATTTTTGCATAAATTAAAATGAGAAAAATATTTCTGTGGCAAAAATTTTCTTTGTGAGATTTCAATTTAAATATAGCAGATTACAACCTATTTACCAGGCCTGAACTGAATTTAGAATTAGGAAAAATTCTCTCTAAGCCAGTTTTGGGAGAAACAGGACTGATCGAAGGAGATTGGCTTGACTAGATATTAGCCAGGATTGAACTGGCTCGCCCTAGAAATTTTATTGATTTTCCTAGAAGTATTCAATTTCATGGACTTCAGTTATAAGTAACTTTTGGAAAAAAAATAGCCATATATCAACACCTTTGGAACAGACTCAGGAGAAATGGTCAGCATACAAACATTTCATAGTGGCAATGTTCTGTGGAAAATAAGGTCACTTCAAACTTTAACCTCATATGATAAGCATGGTTGCAACATAAAAATCTATTGCAGTTTAATAAATGTATGTTTTACATTTATCCATAAAGTTATGGCAAATAAAGTAACTGTTTGGTTTTTCTCTTTGTATTAGAGCTAAATCAGTCTCTATTTGACATTTTAACTAGCTATTTGCTCCTAAGTTTGTTCCTTTTCTTGCCAATTCATATTTAATAAATATAAATTTAGTTAGCTCTTAGACGGTGGTAAAAAAATTTCCTTTTTATTGATAAAAAAGACTCTACTATAATTTATTCTGTGGTCAGCTATGTAGACAAATTTGTTAAAATTAAATATAATTGTATGCATGGAGTTGCATACAATTATATTTAAATTATAGAGTTACAATTCGGAACACAGGATAAATTCTTCATAGACTACTTTGAATTGCTTATATGCTATTAGAACTAATTTTTTTTTTTTTTTTCAATGTTGTGGATGAAAAAGAATCAATAAATAAAGTGAAAGTTTGGAAATAGGTATTATTAATTACACATCAGTGATGTTTTTAAGTGCCAAATTTTTAAACTCCCTCTTATTTAAGCATTAATTAAGGTTTTTTTCATACTAACTTATTCTTGCTACAGTAATTTTTCAGACAATTTGTATTTGATGATTATATTGAAAAGAAACCTTATCAAAATTGTATATATATAAAGGAAATATGATTTGCAGTACGGATGAAATGGAAATAGGAATGAAAGGTTTGGGGTAATATAATAATTAGCTTTTTTTTTAAATTGCTCAGGAAGAGAACATTTTTTCTTAAAAACACAATTTCCATATAGGAAATAAAGTTGTTTCTGTGTCTTGTGGAGTTATTATTAATTCAAATGTATCTAGTATTTCAGATTTTGCATATTCAAATAAAAAAGAGGAATCCATATATTTAACTAATTTCTTTCATTTTTTTTAAATCTTTAGAATAATCAATTTTGTTTTATGCCTTAGATTTCTTAGGTATTTAATTTTTATATAAAGTAAAATAGACTTTGAATTTAGCATAATTTTTTTAATTTAAGTTTTTAGAAATCATCTTAATTTCAAACTTTTTTTTTTTTTTTTTTTTTTTTGCAGATATTTCAAAAGAGGTCAGCTGTATGGCTTAGCTTGCTTTGAAAATATGCCTGTAGACAATAAATGTGAAAGAGGAGCTAGAATGAAATCAGTTGGTGTGTTAGCAGTTACGTACACTTCTTTACATCATCATATGAATTTTCTCAGAAAACAAGTGCGGTGAGCTATTTCTGTATTTTAAAATATATTATTTAATAATTTTAATTTACACTAACTTTATTAATAATTTTAAAATAATCTATACATTGTTTTAAATGAATCTTACATATTTATGCAGGCAGCTACTAGAAAACCCTGGTTCTTATGAGGAAATGGAAATCTACTATGAGAGTCACAAAGGATCTTTTCCAACCTTTAATGCATTCCAAGATTATTCTGATATTTATTCAACTAGATTAAATAATCTTGTGCCTTTAATGAAAGTAAGAACATATTGAAAAACTCATTGCCTTACTGAGGCTGCTATGATCGTTATAATTTTAGTTGCATTGTATTGTTCTCTTACTAAAGTTATGTTGCATCATCATATTAGTTGCATTTCTATAGTTCTTGCCAATTGTTTTAGCACATTTTGTTGAGATTTACTCTTGAATTTTGCAAATTTTACAGCAAAAAAATGGATAGGTAATATAATTTATTTTAAGTATATAATTGGTTATGTTTTATAAAGAATTTTTAAATTTCAGAATGAAAGCAGAATTTTTTGATAATTTTTGTAATTAATTTTTCTATTAGCTTATTTTACACTTACTTCCAATTCATTTGAATTATACTGAATGGATTGTCTTTTAATATATTTTACCAAATTATTTGGAAAACTAAAAATTAATATGACAATTTTATTATCTGCCATATGTAATGCAAGGTTGTAGTCACATGAAGGCAATTTTTAAATTTTTTTATTCTATTTAGTGGGTTTGATTTGATATAATTTAAAAATTTCAAATCCTACATGCTGCACATTAAAGTTCATTAATATGAAGATTTCAGTGCACGTTTTTAGAGTAATTTCATGTGTTTTATGGACAGTCACAATCTACTCAATCTTGTAATTTTTCTTTAATAAGCTTTATTTATTTAAATCATATTATATTTAAATCATACATTTATTACTTTTTTCATTAAATGTACAACTTTACACAGAATATTATTTTATCGATACTAGTTAAAAATATCTACTACAACATTTTCGTACATGTAGTACTTTTTCTGTAGATATTAAGGAGTAATATACAATAAACTTTATAGTTCATGAGCATAGTTGTTACCTTTAATTTTTNAAGAACATATTCAAAAACTCGTTGCCTTACTGAGGCTGCTATGTTCATTATAATTTTTTTTTTGCATTGTATTGTTCTCTTACTAAAGTTATGTTGCATCATCATATTAGTTGCATTTCTATTGCTCTTGCCAACTGTTTTAACACATTTTGTTGAGATTTACTCTTGAATTTTGCGAATTTTACAGCGAAAAAATGGATAGGTAATATAATTATATAATTTTTTTTTAATATATAATTAGTTATATTTTGTAACGAATTTTTAAATTTCGGAATGAAAGCAGTTTTTTTTTATAATTTTTGTAGTTAATTTTAATATTAGCTTATTTTACACATACTTCCAATTCATTTGAATTAAACTGAATGGATTGTCTTTTAATATATTTTATCTATTTAAAATGCTATAAAATTATTTAGAAAACCAGTGTATTCTTTCAGAAAAAAAATGGGAGAGAATTTCTCACCCTTTCTCAAAAACAGGGTGAGATTTCAAAAAGTTAAGTGAGATTTCTAAAAATTAAAAAAACACGAATAGACTTGGAAAAAAAAAATTTCTTTAATTGTAATACATTTTTCACATCTTCTAATTGAATATTTTTGCTGCATCATCATATGAAAAATGTTCTATATCTACTTTTTTATCAGCTATTATATTTATTTGACTAAAAAATATCCGTATTTGTTTCGTTTTGACCGTTTCTACCGACATTTGTTTCATTTTTATTTGTAGTAGATGTTGCCTTAACAAGGTATTTGTCCATCTTACATTCATGCACAAAAAATGTAAACGTTTTACATGAAGAAACCTTATCTACGGTGAACTCGTGGTTGCAGAGAAATGTGTTCTGAAAGGGGTTCGAGCAACACCTCCTAGAAAAGAGTAGGCCTCTGCACGTGTTACCATAAATATTCTTTAGTAGTCCAAACGTAATGACATATTTCTTATTTTCAACCACTGTGCAAAAGAAAAAAATATGCTAGATTCTTGCGCTGTAGTGAAAACACTGAAAACTAAAAATTAATGTGAAAATTTTATAATCTGCCATGTGTAATACAAGGTGATAATCACATGAAGGCAATTTTAAATTTTTTTATTCTATTTAGTTGGTTTGATATAATTTAAAAATTTCAAATTCTACATGCTGCACATTAAAGTTCATTCATTAAAGATTTCAGTGCACGTTTTTAGAGTACTTTCATGTATTTTATGGACAGTCACAATCTACTCAATCTTGTAATTTTTCTTTAATAAGCTTTATTTATTTAAATCGTATTATATTTAAATCATATATTTACATTTATTACTTTTTCATAAATGTACAACTTTACGCAGAATATTATTTTATCGATACTAGTTAAAAATATATACTGCAACATTTTTGTACACATAATACTTTTCTGTAGATATTAAGGAGTAATATACAATATACTTTATAGTTCATGAGCATAGTTATTACCTTCAATTTTTTAAACTTAGCGAATTGAAGTGGCAATAGATCAATTATTGTTGCTTATGAGCACTTGATATGATTGTTTACAAATACGAAATGAAGTAAAGAATGTTTTTAAAAGAGAAACCATTTATATATTATATATATGTCATCTCAGAAGAGTTACGAATAAAATGAGTATTACAGCTGGATAGTTGGTATTTATCATTAAGTATCATTTATGTTTGATGTTTATTATAAATTATACTCAAAAATTGCTAGCAGGCACATATTTCTAATTGATATTAAAATATAAAGAATATTTTTCGAGCTAAAGGTATAATATGAAGAATTAGTTTGATATATATATGTGTGTGTAAATATAAGCTCAGATTTTATTTTTGCTGTTAAATGAATCTAGCTTGAAATGTGGATTCAAAAAATTTAATTTTTCCTTTGAATAGAGACAATATTAAATAATTTTGAATTCTTGCAGTAAATCTTCGTTTCTTGTTTTCATATTTCTTTATAATTTATTCTATAAATAATATAAATACTAAGTTAATAGCATCATTAAATTGCATTTTTCCAATTTTATGTGAAAGTTTGTAAAGTATTTTATAATGGTAGGAAATTACATGCCATAAACATTTCATGTTTGTAAATGTTTGCATTTCTATTCTTGTAATTTTAGATCACTCACCCTGCTGGCTGTTTTTCTCAGTTTTTGAATTTTTTTGGTGAAAGAATATTTGCCCTCTGGAAAATGGCATTATTAAAGAAGCGCATAATATTTTTTTCACCACCTCCTATTGGAGTAGTGTGTTATCGGGGTAAAAATATTTATTTATTTATTATTATTATTAGAAATGTAATGATTTTGTTGTTAACTTTGACTAATCTTAACTGATTTTCCTTACTTGTTAGCTTAAAGTTTTATATATGTTTTCAAAATCTTTACAGTTTATGTTTTGTTTAAATTGATTGCTGCACCATTATTGCATTCACTATGTAACATTCTTACAATTTACTCATTAAAATTAAATGTCTTCTGTGATATCTAATCTAACAAGGTTTAGAGCATCTTACTTTTTTTCAGTTTAGGTTTAAAATATTTCAAGTCTTTTGTAAATATTTTCTAAAATTAAAACAATGTAAAAATGTGTTAATAATGTTTTGTAAAACAGACATACTATTGTATCTTTACTATAATGAAGCACCTTATTCAGTTTTGAAACTCAAAATAATAGAGGAATTTCTATATATTATCGAATTACAAGCAAATATTGATTATAATGGAGTACTTTGGTGATTTTTCTTTTATCTTCTAACTGTAGATGACTATCTTGGTTGATCTAGTTCTATTAATTAATATTTTTTCCTTGCTGTAACTTGCTAGTCATTCTGCATCTCTGTTTATTTCTTTCATTCTGTGTTCTCTTTTTCATTTTCTGTTTTATTCTAACATCATACATCATCCATTCTATTTCACTCTAGAACAATATTTTGTTTCCCTTTATCAGACAATTCTATTTTATATGATATTATTTGAGCACTGTGACAGTGTTGTAATTTTTTTATATGCTTCACATACCCTTCTTTATTTCAAGATATATATATATTTCAGTTTGATATTGACCCTTTATAATAATAGTACTATCTAGCAATATCCTTATTAAACTCATCTCTTTGAGTTTGTTTGAAGATGATATCTATTTAACAGTATTTTTTATTTTTTTCGTTTCTTTCATTTACACAGAAATTTCTATTTGATAACAACAATGTTTCTGTTTAAGGATAAAATTGTTTTAATATATAAAATTTTTGTTTTGCAAATTTTCATGTGTTTTGTGCAAAGTAAATTGTTTAGTTTTTACCAAATAATCGGGACAATTGAAGGAATCAACATTTTTTTTCTTTATTTTTTTAAAAAAAACATGATTTTATTTTATGTGTTATAACTCTATTTTTGAATTAATACGTGTAATTTATGTGATGAAAGAAAGATACTATTATGATAAAATGCATTCTTAAAAGCCTAAACTGTATTAAAAAATATCTTAACAACAACTATCTGTATTGTCTTGAAGGAAATATTTTTCAAATGTTAATTTTACACAAATTCTATTTTATGTGTACTCTATGTTTAAGAATAATGTTTTTACATTTCCTTTAAAGTCCTTAAATAAGAAGTCAACTATGAATTGTTTACTAAAGAACGCTTGGTTATTCTTTTCACCAAAAGATTTAATTTTTTAGAAAAATAATAATAAAATTTAATAAATTAAAAAATATGTAAAGAAAATTGAGAATTTATAAAGAATATTCTATATCATTGATGAATTTAAAATCAATGGCATATATATTAATTTTAAAAGAATTATGATGCCAGCTTTTTTAAAATATTAATACTGATTGTTCAGTTTTTCCCAAGTTGCTAATTTTTTTTTTACCGTATGATTTATTTTTACTCAAATTGTTCAAACAAACAAATATCCTGAATATTAAAACTAATACCTATATCTTTATATGCCATGCCTTCATTTAATTTGACTTATTTCTCCTATGTAATGTTATATATGTGTATGTTTTCTACAAATTTACCACTTTTTATTCTTTTACTGATTTTAGTGTATTGCACAATTTGTCTCACTGGTCACCGTCTGTCTGAAATAGGTGCATGGTCTGCACAACCATTCTTTTATGTCAATATCGCAGATATGGATAATTTAGGATCTGAAAAAGTTTATGTTGCATGTAAGTAATTTTTAGAGAACTTAAATTATTTTATTATCATAAAATTATTTTATTAACATGAAGTTGTGTTGAAGAACATTAGAGCATTTTTTTTTATTTTATAGTTAGATAAACCAATCTTTTATTAAGTTTTTGGCTTTCTGCCAACAGTAGTAATAAATATTGCTGTAGATTATGCCTTATAAAATTCTGGAGTGACTTTAATTATTGTACTACAAATTGTACCTACCTATGAAGAATCCAATTTCTATGCTTTTTCTTATTGTTTGGTTCATTGCTTTTCAATTTGTTAATGATTTGTTATTTTTAGCAATTTTTTTCTTGCAGTAAACTTTTTATTTAATCAAGTATATGCAAACTTATTTTTCATTGATTAAATTCAAACTAATTTTTCATATACTTTTATTGATTAGATTGTTATTTTTTACTTAATTAAACATATTAAAGCTTATTTTTGGTTTGGAAAAAGTTTTACTTGTGGAATATTAAGTGCTTCATTATCTATTAAAATATCACTATACTACCAAAAAAAAATTTCTCCAAGACTATTCAAAATAAATTCTGTTACTGTAAAAAAGAATCATTACAGATTAGTCAGCCTTAAAATTTTCTAATGATTGCATTAAATCTAAGTAAATAAGCAATAATAATTATCTTCTTTCAATTGTTGCAGTCACTGCATATAATTATATAATATAATGAAAAGTTTAAAAAAAAACTTCTTTGAATTACGTCTATTACTTCTATACATAAGCTAATACCTTTTAAAGATTTTTATTGTTTTCATTTCAAGTTTATTACTGTTAATAATTAGATATAATTCATTTCATTTATAATGAAATGTTTCATTTTTTCACTCAGCATAATTGTTTACTGTGAAAATTCCATTACTTAATAATTTTATCGTGTTTTTTTTTTTTTTTTTTTTTTTTTTTTTTTTTTTTTTTTTTTTTTTTTTGTTTAACTTTTTTTTTCTTCTAAAAAATTCTCACTTTTAATTAACATTGTTTTAATTTCCAACCGGTGTAACTTTTTTTAATCAAATATTAAAACAATTATATGCATTGATATGTGTATTAGGGTGTTTTAATCAACTTATTACTGCATAATTCCACAAAAATTAATTAATTTTTATCTGCTAATGAAATTTTTCAGGCACAACCGAAAAAATATTCCAGACTAAAACAAGCCTTTACGATTTGTATGTGGATAATCAAAATTTCATTACTGACATCCCAATAATTCAAAAGATTCTGAATACAAGTCATTCTGATAGGAGAAAGTTTGAACAACTTTGTAAATTTCAGTAAGTATTTGATCAAAATAAAAAAGTATTTGTCAAAAAATTTCCAATTTATTTAATAATATTCAGTCATTAAAAAAATATTTTACTATGGTGATGAGTGTTATAATTACATACCTGCCAACATTCACTCTTTTCGAGAATGGATTTTCCAAGTGGTAGTAAAAAAATTACCGAAAAACTATCTTCCTCAAAAATATACTTATATTTTTATCAGGTTGAAATTCGCTATCGTAAAGACTAATATGCTTTTATATATTTGTAATTATTTATTTGTAGTGGTGGTCAAACTGATTTAAAATTATTATTATAATTCAAAAAGTTTAGTGAAATAACATGAATTTCGCTAGCACTTTGAATATGAAAATAAAATCTTCCGTGAAAACCGGAAGAATTGGCAGCTATGTAAATAGGATTATGTAAAACCTAGAAAACGAATTATAATAAGATATTCACTGGTTAAAATGTGTAAAAAAAAGGATTAATAGTTCTTAGTCTTTAAAAATATTAACTTCTTTTAAAGTAGTGGTAATAAAACAATTGGTTGATTTATATGTTATCGTCCAGAACAAAATGATGAAGGAGTTAATGTACTTAATTTCACTTATTACTTTTTTTTTAATTATCTTTTTACTTTATTTTTATTGCTAGTTATTATTCAGGCAACAGAATTTTCTGAGCCCATCTTCTGCACCATCTTCTTTAAATCTAAATTTGTTTGCAACCTAAATGCAATCAGGAGACTATTATTGTAAAAATAAGGCTTTTCCAATATGCATAGCGAAATTTAAATTCTCAAATCTAAAGTAGATAAAAATTATAAACATAAGAAATGTATGTTGTTTAAATTTAGTTTGAAACATTTGAAATTATAGTTAAAAAGAGTTTAAGAACCGCTACAATCGTGGCTGCATTGCATTCATCATGTGATGCTTATAAAATCATTAAGATGTAGCGCATTAACTTTAAAAATATTTTTCAAAGCTATAAAATGCTTAGAATGCTCAGAAAACACTCTTAAAAGTGGCATGAATACTTATTGGTAAACTAATTTTTTGCGCATATTATATGGGATCTAAGTAGTTCTATCAAAAAGTTAAAATATAAATATATATATATATTTTGTAATAAATTAATTTTGTGAATGAACACCAACAAGAGAACTACCTTAGCTTACATGATACTGTATTTTTTCTTCACTGAATTCATAAAAAAGATTATAAATAACACTGCTAGATGCTAAATAGATAAAACAAAAGTTTGTAGTAGTTTAAGCCATCCTGAATTGAAAATTACTCTAGTTATTTGATATTATCTAAAAAATTACTAAATGTTTCTCATTGTCCTTCCAATTTTTTTTCATCAAATCTATTGCTTTTTGTAATATAAAATTGTTACATTCATAAAGCATTCCCACATTTTTAATTGTGCACAAAGTTTGAATTATAATTTGTAAAACTTTTGTGTCCTAAAATGACAAAATTGGAATATTCAGGATCTGGAGAGGAAACAACGATTCAACATTGGTTTTTCAACAGTTTTGTGTCTACATAGAAAATTTGTGGAACATTTAATTCAAAAAGTGTAGATAATATTATAATTTAAATCAAAATTTTATTTGTGTTTTCATCAATCTTTAAATTAATTTCTTAAATTATTATATGCAATTTAAAATTGAAATTCCTTTGTTCTTTTATTGGCATCAGTATTTAAAAGGCTTAGAAACCATGTTCTAATGCAAATTATAATACTATACTGAACAAGTTTGCTTTGTATAAAAAAAAAATATTGAATTGATTGATCTCTGTTTTAAATATTAGTTGTTTGTTTAAATAGTTTATCTCCTCATACCTAAATATTATCCTATTTTGATCTGTTTTTTTTTTAAAGTGCAATTTTTTGACTTTAACTTTTTAAGCATCATACTGTGTAAACAAATAAGTACAGAATTCTCCTAGCCAAGTAGACTTTCTCCTCGAATTCCACAGGAGAAAATATTAATTTTGTGTGGGAAAAAAAACAATTTATACTTCAGAATTGAAAAATTAAATATCTCGTTTATAAATATCTGAAACTTGTTAAAAACACTTATAAATCTGATCTGAGTAAAGTTAAACAATGTAGAAAGAGCACAAATAATGCCACATAAACAGATATTTGACAACTTTGGATTGGTAATGACGAAGGTTCCTCAGTGTTAAAACACATTGCTATGTTTCAAAACTGAGGAAAGCTGTTTGACTTTATTCACATTGTTTAACTTCATTCGTATAGTTAACTAGTAATAAAGTTGACTCTTTCTTCACTGTGATTTACATATATATGCTTCAAAACTTTTACAGGCACAAAACTTCTTTTAACCTCTTCAAACATCAAAAATGCCATAAAATTATAGCCAGTATTTATTAATAAATATTTTTCAATATAGTGCTATTTGAATATATTGTTAACAAAAATTAAAAAATAAATGTTTTGTCTTTAAATGATAGCTATTAATGTTTTTTCATGACTTTATTTAAATTATTTGGACGAAAATTGTTAAAATTGATTCATTTTTAACTGAAGTCTGATTTTTTTTACTTTCAGACCACAAATCAATGGCTTTCAAAATGGTGATTTAAACAGTGAAGAGTCAGAAGCTTGGTTTACCAGGTAATTTCTTTCATAATTATTTTTTTCACCCTTGTTCCTCTGATCTATTTCAAGAAAAAGAACTGTTCATGATCACTGACAGTAATGATATTATTAGGATATTGCACATATACCCCCATTCAAAATTGAACTAAAAATGGGGAAAGATGAGGATCACTGACAGTAATGATATTATTAGGATATTGCACATATACCGCCATTCAAAATTGAACTAAAAATGGGGAAAGATGAGGACATGAATTTGAGAATGAACTGATTACTGATGAAACACTGAAGGGAACTGATTACTTTTTTATTTTTGATTAAGAAATAATTTCTGTGTTTGTTAAAATTAAAAGCTTTGTTTTCTTATTCTTACAACTTTGAATTCTGACAACTTTTGTTTTTTAATTTGCAACAGTTTTATTTTGAAAAAGCTGAAAGTACTAAGCTTGTCAAATGTATAGTTTATTTTGCAATTATTCTCATATTTTAATCTCTTCATATTTTGAAAAGTGCTTACAAATCAGTAGAAGATTTTTCTAACATCATCCTCTACCATAATTATAGTAGTAATAGGTAATGTGCAGAATGTAATTATATAAAGTGAAAGTTACTGTATCATCATGTGAAACCTTTTTCTCTTCTGTTTGTTTCTTGTTTTGATATTGTGGTAATGTAGGTTTAAATTTTACCCCAACAATTATATTTATGATTATTGTATTTACAATATTTTCACTTTTCTCCGAACAAAAGCAAAGTTATGGTCATTTTAGTTATATGACCAGTACATTGCTGCCCTTAACTCAATGTAGCGTTAATTATCTCAATCATTCTTAAATAGCACATATTTATTCTGAAGTAGTACATTTTAAAAGGTTGTCTTTTTTACAGATGCTAGTTTTTTGGAAATAATTGCTATTTTCTATACTTTTTCAACAAAAGTAATTAAAAAGTTACAATTCACATTAACTAACAATTATATTATTTTTGCATTATAAGGTATATAAACTATTCATAACTTGCTTATTTGTTGATCTCTTGCATCTATAATTTATTTATTCAGTTGATTTAAAGCTACTCTAAATGATGTATCTTTAAACTGTTGTTTTTCTTTTAATTCTAATCAAAAATAGCTGAATAAAATTTCAATGTTACACATTTATTTTACAAACTCTTATAACAAGGCTTTAATTGACAATTTTTCTAATAGTAAAGTATTCAAACCATCTCTATTTAGTTTAGTCTACAAGCAGTTTTAAATTTGATTGTAATAAAACTATTTAAATGTAATGCAGCTTTCATTACTTTGTAATGGTTCCACTCGTAACACCTCAGCCCTCTTCCCTCCTATTTTTTTTACATCATTAGATCAGCTAACTTTGTACATGTAATATCATTTATGTTAAGTGCCATTACCCTCTACATTCAATTCTATCCTCATTGCATGATAGTCTTCCCAACTTTTTTGGTCTATGAACTAATCTACTAATTATTTTATCTACTAACATATTTGTGAATTTAAGTACTGAATTTAATTTTATTGAGAAAATATTTCTAATTAAAAAAAAAAGTTTTGTTTTGTGTCTTTTTTTTCTATACCTTATTACATAGTTAAAAGTAGCTTTACTGTCTGTAATACCATGTATAAAATATTTGTAAGTTCATAATTAGCTCTAATGGTTAATTATTACCTTATGTAATTAAGACACAAAACACAGATGAATC